GTACATCTTTCCTAATCTTTAAAAAATAAACTACTCGGAAAAAGCTGACTTTTAAGCCACAACAATGAATATTGTCTTGCTCAGCAGACAGCAAAATTCCTCATGATTAAATCCTATGAGCCAGATTTTTCTCCCCCTCATCTTGTTATTATGTGGCATGGAGCATAATTTTACAAAGCATCCACTCCTTCAGTTTATCTATTGACATTCTGTCTTCAAAAACAAACTCTTAAACTCAGAATAGATTTTCCTCTGCTATTCCAAAGCAAGTATAATGAGCACACCTTAAAACATCTGACAGTTGTAATAAAGAAAAATTGTATCTGTGTGTGCCCCAGATACCAACTACAAGAATCTCCCTCTTTCTCTGAAGTGGCTGTGTTTCAAGACATCATCATACATTAAACTACTTACTATGCAAAGGAGGAAGTTGATACGTAACTCAAAATCAAATATTTCAAAATCCCTACTATTCATAAGAACTGTGGGCAAGTCAAAATCAGACCAACTGAATTTTATTCCTTACCCTGCCCCCAAACCACATGACCAGAGAAGGTAAGAGCTGGTGAATAATAGTAAGGGAGAGATACGAACTATTCACAAATAAATTATTTAAATTCCCTGTTATCAAGTTCTTAGTAAACAAGAATAAACCTGTAATCCCAGCACTCTGGGAGGCTGAGGTGGGCGGATCACAAGGTCAGGAGTTCAAGACCAGCCTGGCCAATATGGTGAAACCCCGTCTCTACTAAAAATACAAAAATTAGCCGAGCGTGGTGGCGGCGCATGCCTGTAGTCCCAGCTACCCAGGAGGCTGAGGCAGGACAATCACTTGAACCTGGGAGGTGGAGGTTGCAGTGAGCCAAGATCGCACCACTGCACTCCAGCCTGGGCGACAGAGCGAGACTGTCTCAAAAAATAAAAATAAAAACAAAAAATAAAAAATAAAATAAACAAGAATAACACCCACTTCACAAGGTATTGCAAGGATCAAATGAGTTCTTCCATGAAAATGATTTGCCTGATCAAAGAACGTAATAGGCACTCAATAAATGCCAGCTCCTTCCTCGTTTGGTTCTGGGCTCGGTGTTCTTTGTTCTCTACACTCACGTCCCCAGATGACTCAGTCCCCTCCTAACTTTTACTAACAAACACTGTAAACTACTGTACCAATCAAGGTCCTGATATGTATGTGCATACCCAGTCTATGTGACACTGTCTCCCATCCCTAAACACCTAGGTGAGCAAAACAGAGGAAAAGACCCCAAACACCTGAACCTGAACTGCTGTAAGAACCAGCAGGACAAATCTCCACCCACTTCCAACTGTCCCCAAGAGATCGGAATTGCCATCTAAAAATGTCTGAAACCAAACTCATCATTGTCTCTTTTAAAAAGTAAGCCCTCTTCCTGCCCCTTTTCTAACTGTGAGTGGTGTGACGAAGAATGATCCTTGCCCCATTGTACTCTCACCAAAACACTGCCAAATAACCCAGGCCTCTCGAGTTTACCTTCATAATCTCTACCACCTCTCTCTCTCTCTCTCTTTTTTTGAGACAGCGTCTTGCTCTGTCACCTAGGCTGGAGTGCAGTGGCTCGATCTCGGCTTACTGCAACCTCCTCCTTCTCCCAGGTTCTAAGTGATTCTCCTGCCTTGGCCTCCAGAGTAGCTGGGATTACAGGCATGCGCCACCACACACGGCTAATTTTGCGTTTTTAGTAGAGAAACGGTTTCACCATGTTGGCCAGGTTGGTCTCGAACTCCTGACCTCAGGTGATCCACCTGCCTCGGCCTTCGAAAGTGCTGGGATTACAGGCGTGAGCCACTGTGCCTGGCCCACATCTCATGTTTGTGCCACTCCCACCACTATATTCCAGGTTAGGGTTTCTCAGTCTCAGCACTACTGACATTTTGGGTACATAATTCTTGTGGAGGCTGTCCTGTGCACTGCAGGATGTTTAGCAGCATTTCTGGCCTCTACCCACTAGATGCCAGTAGAACTGCTCTCTCCCCTCCAGTTATGACAATCAAAAATGTCTCTAGACACTGCCAAATGCCCCTTCCCCATTGTCACTCTCATTCCCAAGTTTGAGTACCACTGGCCCAGTTTCTTACTTCGTATCTGCCATACAAAATCAGCCCCCAAGTTAAGTCTACAGTTTTATTCCTCTAATTCCTGTGGCCCTGACAAACGACTCCTAAAGCACTGCTTTATGAGTCATTTCTTTAAATCTACCACTCCCTGTTACCTTCACAATTAGTTCAAAGCTCTGCATCCAACCTTGATAATCTGGCTTCAATTAAACATTGTTCCACAAAGCACCTCATATAGTGGCTACCCAGCAGTCCTTCAATAACACATCCAGTCTCTCTCTTTCTATTCTACTGCTGTCACCCTGGTTGGAAGTCCATGACCTAGCACCCAATCCAGATCACTAAAAGAGTCTCATTCCCTAGCCTCTCTGCCACTCGAAGTCAGAAACTTTTCAGTGGTTCTCCATTGCCTGCTGAAATATCGTATCTGCTGCCCTTCTTCAGAGTCTTTCCTAATATGGCCTCTTTCTAATTTTATGTTCCGTTATCCTGAAAGCACTAGTCCTTGAAAAGGCTCCTACACTTTCCACTTCTGATCACATTTTTTCTCTGCCTGGAAGCCCTCATAATTCCACTCCCCTCACTCCACCCTAATTTAAAGTCCATCTGAATTAAGTCAAAAAGCCTTTCTTGGGCATACCTCCTTTGTATTTACATAACACTTGGCACCTCTCCTATGGCATACATTCTACCTTATGTTATACATGAGTACTCCTGTAATTGACAAGATCCTTAAGAGCTTCTTACTCCTCTTCTGATGCCTGCAATGCCTAGCCCAGTGTTAAGCAGAGAACTCGGCACTAGATATGAGCTTCCCCAAATGTTTCCCACTTAGAAAGCAATGGAGGACTGACTGTTTTCAGACAATCCCAAACTCCCTTAAGGGAAGTAAGCACATATTCTCCTTTTGTCTCATATGTCTATGTGTTAGACCAATTTTTAAGTAAACTGCCTTCAAGATATCTGGATTGCTATTTAGTATACATTACTGTAGAGTTCTGCTTCAGGGAGTTCCAACTTGTAACTGAACCCTGAATATTTAAGCTCTCTCTTTATGCCAAAAGACAATGGAAATTTATTTTTTGAATGTTAATAAAATTGAGCAAAACATAAAAATAACTTGCATTGGATTAAACATGTTTCAAGTAAAGATTCATTAGTGCTGATGTGTCTGTCCTAAAAATTACATTTCAAGTTCTAAAGTCTTTGCGTATCATTAAAAAGATTGAAAGTTTTATTTCAACTCCTTCTCACCTCAAAGACAAACCAAAATAGAACACAGAAGGCTTTTCCTTAATTTTATTTAGATCCTAACTTGAAGGTATATTCTGTTATTTCTTCAAAAGGAGCAAAAAGAGGATCATTAATGAGCATGTTCTGACCAGATCTTTAAGTCCTACTCCAAAGTTGTAAGAGGAGAGTACCGTAGACCACACTACCAGCACCCTCTGTTAGCAGACCACAGAATCAGTTTTGTATGTTCCTGAGCTAAGAATGGTTTTACATATTTGTGTTTTGTAAACACAAAAACAAAGAAGAATATGCAACAGAGAGCATATATGGCCAGCAAAGCCCAAAATATTTACTATTTGTCCCTTTTCAACAGGATGAAATTGGACTCCTCGTTGCCCTTCACTGGCACGTAAGACATCCCACATTTTTCCTCCCAAGATTTTAAAAAAGCAATATAAAACACAAGAACATGTAAAAAGATCTAACTCGTTCAACTTAGTCATAGTTAATGCGGACCTAACTTCTAAAACAGAGGCCTGTGTGGGGACATTTTTATATTTCACAGAATTTTTGTTAGAAGAAACTTGCCTTCATTCTGTGGATGAATATACTTATGCTTGAAAAGGGAAAGTGCCTGACCCAAAGTCATACTGCTGGTTAACAGCAGAGTAGGGTCAAGGACCCAGCCCTCAAAACCCTGGTCCAATGCTCTGCAGTCCACTACATACGCCTACACATGTGGCTTTAAGTTTTGGAGATGTGGATGATGTGGATAACTAGCTTGGATCAATATAAAAGATGAATGCTTAAAACCTGTTCCTAATATGCTGTTTAGACAGACTCCTACTAGCAGCTATGAATCATTAAACAGAGTAGCACTAATGCTCACCACATACATTAGATATGAATTTCTAGGAAGTCTTCTGTTTTAAAAGCATATATGATAAAGAAGGCTTGAAACCTATAGGGCTTGCTCCTCCAGGGCTTCAGATTAGGGAAAATACGCACTTCTGTCTACCAGCTGTTCAATACTCATCTCCCAACCTAAATCCGCAAGTTCCACAAATGCTTTCGAACGCCTGTTGAAAAAAACTGTTCAGTTTCATACACACGTTCTACAGATAATTACAACTTCTTGTATGCCTACTTGTAAAACTACTCACTAGTTCACATTTTTAAAAATTGCCCTAAGAATTTTGCTTCCTTTAACAAAACAGTTTCTTCGATGCCTAAACCTGTAAAACTCACTTTATCGCGTCTTCTCGGTTAATTCAAGAATTAAAAAAACCATTTTGCCCATACTGATAACTTCACTACTCCGCAGGATCCGAAAAGCTCTGTATGCCAGGTTCCAGGATTCACACACATTAACAACCTAAGATCCTTCACGTGAGGTAGCTCTTGTAGTGCAGAGCACAGATTCTCAGGGTAGTGGGGGATACCGGCTGAGGCTCTTCAGACCCCCACCACAGGAGTTCTGTCTTCTAAGAGCCATCCCCTCCCCCTCGGCCGCCGCGCGAGTCCAGGCCTCCCGGGCACCTGCGGCCCCTACCCGCTGCGGGGACCCCGACCCAGACCCCCGCCGGTCCCCAAGGAATCGGCGCCCACTCCCACTCCCGGAGGCTGGCGACTGCAGGCCTGAGCCGCCCGCCGACCCCAGGACGCGACGTTACCTGTAGGACCACGTCGTTGGGCAGCTGCGCGGCCCGGAACAGCTCCAGCACCCGCCCGTTGACCACCACCTTCTTGGTGCTCTCAATGTCGCAGTAGGAGAAGAGATCTGAATAGTATTTCTGCTCCGCATCGCTCAGCGTTAAGCCTTCCATCTTCGCCTCCGGCTCACGGCCGCCCCGCCCCGCATGCACTACTCGGGGCCCGGCCCCAGGACCCT